CCATCTTTCCAGGTGTTCCTAAAGCTTGTTCAAGACAAATGATCCTTCATTCCCAAGGAAATTGAGACCTAGAGATGACAGACTTCATCAGGAGCAAAGATGAGACTCAGTCCTCACAGGAAACCTCCCAAGACTTTCCAGGTCACCAGCACTGGACCAGTCACAGGCTCGTGAGAAGAGTGTCTACACGGTCTCCAGTGTGAGATATTTCATTAAACATTCCTAAAATCACCAGAAGCTTGGCCCTGATTACCCTGAGAGCTGATGCAAAAACTTAGACAATGGTAGAGGTCACATGACATGTTTGCCTTCTCTTTCAAGTCAGGGCCTAAGAACCCACCTGGCCCTCACCTATGCCTGGCAGGAGCAGGAGCTGAAAAAAGTACTTGATTCATAAACAAGGGGTAGATTTCCATAGTTCTACAGGGACGTCATTTGATAGGATTTCCTAGGGCCAGGGATTGACGACTCTGAAGTTGAGCTGAGGGCAGAGTGGGCAGTAGCAGAGCAGGCAGGAAAGGCTGCCGGAAACCCCATGGTAAAGGCCTGCAGAACTGGCCAGGAGAAAACATGTACCCGTTTAAGCCTTCAGTCTTTGAAGCACAGCACATGTAAATCACATCAGGGAGCTGCAGCTCATATTTGGAGGTGGCTTTTAAAAAAATCATTCCCACGATTGGGCTTTCTCCCTCTGCCCTGCACCTTTGGAGCAGAGAAAGCTGTAGTTAAGTAGAGGAAGCCACCGAGAACTAAAGTGGGTGTTCTTCAGGAGATGCCAAGCAAGGCCTTTGTCGGCAGGGTTCTTAAACTGAGTTTATTGGGTCTCCTCCAAGTACCACAGTGGGACCTGAGGGCCAGTGTTTCTGAACTTGATATAAATTATGCATCTGATTAGAGAAGAGATCTCAGCCTTCATCAGATTCTCCTGTCGTTGGCCATAGGGCCTCCTTTTCCTCCTGCTCTGTCATACTCAAGTGGGACTTGAGCATGTCTAAGTTCATTATTATTTGCTAGGAGGTAGAGTTGAGAGAGAAGGCACATGACGTAGAGCTAACCCCATATAGGGCCTTCACAGGGTCCATCCACCCTGAAAGGCTTAGAGCAGTGGTTCTCAACCTTCCTAATACTGCAACCCTTTAATTCAGTTCCTCATGTTGTGGTGACCCCCCACAATCATAACATTATTTCTGTTGCTCTATCATAATTTTCTATTTTCCTGTTGTGATGAATCACTCTGTGTCTTCTGATGGTCTCTGGGGATCGGGACCCACAGGTTGAGAACTGCTGGCTTAGAGGTTGTCCAGCACAGACAAGGGCTGACCTCATGCAAGGCCTTCTTAGAGTCAGTGCCCCCTGAGAGACGTAGACTTGCCCAGCAGAGACAAGGCTCTCAAAGTTAGATCTTACTGGCGTTACTCTGTGTCAGGTGCTTTATTGTTATTTTTTCTCAGTCCCACAGCAATCCTATGAAGTCAAAGAATTCCCCCATCCCCCAGATAAGGACACTGAGTCTCTGAGAGGCTGAAGCACTTAAACCAGAATCCTAAAGGTCCTGTGTAATTCTCAAGCTTGAAATCAAGCTGTCCTGAGGCCTGAACCATGGGCCAGGCTTTCATCTGGAGGCAGCTTCTCTGTTCACCATTCAGATTCCACACATGAAGCTCCAGGCCTGCCCTCTCCCTGACCCTGTCCATCAGAACAGGCAGGGGGTGCTGCAAATGAAGGTCTTCATGCCAAGATGTAATCTATGTGCTTACATAATTTAGCCCAAATAGTCCCTCTAAAATTCCACGCTGGACGCCAGTTTCTGTCCCAAGATATGGAGTGTTAAATAATGAAACCCCAGTTAACACCCTCTCCTGTTTCACTGCCAGAAAGGAAGAAATATTCTCCAGTAGTCACAGGACAGAAGACTGGGAATGCTCTAAAACAAGGCTAATAATATGTTACGGTTTCAAAATTCATGTAAAAATTCTCAGCCACCTATCAGCAACAAAACAAACAAAAACCATTGCTTCCCCAGCACCAATAAAAAGTGTGGCAACTGCATGTACCAAGGACACCCCAGGCACACTCTCTATCTTGGCCTTCCTTCTTCAAAGGCACCAGCCAACCAGGACAGATGCTACTGTTGGAGAAACTGAGTCATCCCAGGTCACACAGCCTGTAACAGCAGACCCAGGACTTGAACCCAGGCCTGATGACAGCGTCAGTGCTCTTAACCATATTCCTGTCCCCCTAGCTACACAGTCAAAGTGATTTCTGCCGCCTGCTCAGTATCACCTCTTGTCTTGGTTGTCCATGGGCAGAAAAAGCTGGACCGGAAATTTTGTCACCCTCTTGGGGAAAGGAGCCATGGAAGGAGACAGGTGGACTCGGCAAACACCTGATGCCTGGCTATCTGCCACTCTCTACCTCTGCCTTGCTAACCAGATCTCCTGCTTTCCAAGTCACGGTTTCCTTACCTCATGGTCATTCCCCACAATTTGTGGGGTTCTAAATGAGATTCAGAACCAAGTTTCAGGAGTGGTGCAAATGTTAGTTATTTAAACTGATTTGAGAAAAGTCGATTGTAGTCCCTTCTCAAACTCCAGGCTTGGTCGGCTGCAGAGTTCATGGCCACCACCAGTTCCTCTGCTTCCCCGCTCCCCACTGACTCCTCCTCAGTTTCCTCTCTGTGTCTGCAGTTCTCAGGCCTCGGGTGCTCACATTCTGGGTAGTTTCCGCGCTCCTTCTGACTCTGGATACAGAGTCTGCCTCTCCTCCCAATCCTGTGCTTTTAGCAGAGCTGCTCCAGCTGGGACACTGACAACAGCGTCCCGCCCTCCTCGAGGGGTGTGACCCGGGAGCTTAGATTGGAGTACGGACTGTGAGCAACACCCAGCCTCCCGCTGGTCTTTCTCTGTTGTACCCTTTCTGTGCCCCAGCGGCGCCCAGAGCGGCCCGGAACTCCTCCGCACCTGGCCTGGGCCACAGCTCCCCTCCAGCCGGACGCTTCAACAGCCATGAACGTGTCCTTCTCTCGCTGCCACGCATCCCCCTGGGTGGAAAATGGCTCCTCCGCGACCATGGGCAGCATGCTCTTCGGCGCCGGGCTGCTGGGCAACCTGCTGGCGCTGGTGCTTCTGGCGCGCTCGGGCCTGGGGTCCTGCGGGTCACGGCCACTGCGCCCACCACCTTCGGTCTTCTACGTACTAGTGTGTGGCTTGACAGTCACCGACTTGCTGGGCAAGTGTCTGGTCAGCCCGGTGGTTCTGGCTGCCTACGCGCAAAACCGGAGCCTACAGGAACTGCTGCCTACCGCGGGCAATCGGTTATGTCAAGCCTTTGCTTTCATCATGTCTTTCTTTGGGCTAGCCTCGACGTTACAGCTGCTGACTATGGCGCTGGAGTGCTGGCTATCTCTGGGACACCCCTTCTTCTACCAAAGGCACATCACCCTGCGCCGGGGAGTGCTAGTGGCGCCATTAGTGGGAGCCTTCTGCTTGGCTTTCTGCGCGCTTCCCTTTGCCGGCTTTGGGAAGTTTGTGCAGTACTGCCCTGGCACCTGGTGCTTCATCCAGATGGTCCACGAGAAGCGCTCGCTATCGGTTCTCGGTTTTTCTGTGCTCTACGCTAGTCTCATGGCGCTACTGGTCCTAGCTACCGTGCTGTGCAACCTGGGCGCCATGCACAACCTCTATACCATGCACCGGCGCCTGAGGCACCACCCTCGCTGCTGCTCCAGAGACCGCACCCAGCCAGGCTCCAGTCAAGGTGTGGGGTCCCTGCATCCCCTGGAGGAGTTGGACCACCTCCTGCTGCTGGCTCTGATGACAGTGCTGTTCACTATGTGTTCCCTGCCTTTAATTGTGAGTTGTTGGGCAAGGAAGTTCTGGAAACTGGTCTTCTCAGGCCCTGACCAGATGGAAAGGTGGGGTGGGAAGGATGCTGCTGTATAGGAGCTGCATCCAGTGCTGGATGCAGGACAGTTGATTCTGGTCTCAACTCTCCAGGGGAGTGAACCTCCACAGACCTAAGATATGACCCCCCCCCATTTGTAGAGGGAGAAGAGGGAATGTCAGACAAAGGATGTTTCGAAGACAAACGGGTGTTGTCTCCTGAACTCAACAAAACCTTTTCCAAGTGGCAGATGCCCCCTCCTCTCTGCTCCTGTCCAATGAGGTCTCTAGTGAGCCAAAGACTTAGTCCTCTGTTCCCCGACCCCCGCACCAGCTATGCAATATTTTATTTTGTTAGATCCACCCTTTAATTTAGACGTCTTGGAAAGGGTCTTGTCTGGGAGTCCTCTCTGGACTTTGGCATAGAAGAGAAGGAAAGGGGTTAGTCCATCCTGAGTGGCTTTCAGGAGTGAGCAATAAACACAGATTTAGTTCTGAAAAACTCTAGGTTTGTGGCTGCTGCTGTACTGCCCCCCCCCCGGGGGTGGGGTGGGGGTGGGGTGACAGCAGAGGCAGAGAAGTTGCAGGTGGCCCCTTGTTTCCTTGTCTGTCTTGATGAGTTTTGGTTTTGTCTTGGCCAATGAGATAGCAAAGAATCCCATTAACTTGGGTTCCAAATTCCAAGGAGAAGATGGCAGAGGCTGAATGATGCAGAAGCTGCTGTTCCCAGATTGGTAGTTCCCAGATTGAAAGGAATGACTGTCATCAGTTTGATGACAGACACCAAAAACTTAGAACCCCAATTAAGCTAACCACTACTCCAATTGCTAAAAAGAATTAAATTCTTCATATTAGATATGTACTCTAAAGTTGTACCCAGTCATTGCTATTGCATCTTTAATTTCATCAGTTTCATGTGGCAGCTCATGTTTATCTGGGGATTTGACTCCCTCTTCTGGCTCCAGAGGCACTGGGCACACATGTGGTACACAGACATACATGCAAACACAAGACCCATACACATAGAAAAATAAATAAAAATTGTGGGTTATGTTTGTTTTCTGGTTGTGTTAGTATCTACTGAACATGCATTATTTGGCACATTGGTCTATAAAACCTGAATCACTTATTCTCCAGCCCTTTACCAATAAAAAATAAATTAAAAAAAAACTCCAGACCAGTAGTTGGAGCTTACTTATGCTGTGATGAAAGCAAAGAATAGCTAAATCCATGAGAACTGGAAGCAGCATTTGGATGCTTTAATGTGAATAACTCAGAAAACAGTGTAAACCAATGGAACAAACACAGCCTTTGGACACGTCTCTAAGGAGATCCCTATTTCCTTATGGAATTGTGAGATTTAAAGGAACCGATATATTTGAAGACACTTTGGTAAAGACAATTTGTAAAGTTCCGGATAAGTGTAAGCCAGACAGCATTCCTCTCAGGAACGGTCATTTCCTAGAGAGACTAGGGGATTGCTCAATGGCTGTTGGTCAGGGTCAGGTTTCAGCACTCACTGGCTATGGGAGTTGTTTATTTACTGGCTGCCCTCTTCTGTTGAGGGATAACTACACTAGTTCTGTGGGGTTGGCAAAGGTTAAAAATGTACACACACACACACACACACACACACACACACACACACACCTATACAAGTACAGACGTGCATTCCATGATGCACACTTTGAGAGCAGAAGGCAAGCTCAGACATTGATCTTTTTTTTTTAAGATTTATTTATTTATTAAGTATACAGTGGTCTGCCTGCATATGTCCCTGCAGGCCAGAAGAGGGCAGCATATTCCATTACAGATGGTTGTGAGCCACCATGTGGTTGCTGGGAATTGAACTCAGGACCTTTGGAAGTATAGCCAGTGCTCTTAACCTCTGAGCCATCTCTCCAGCCCCTCAGACATTGATCTTTACCGGACATTCTGATTGACACAGGGTCTCTTTATTTGCTGGTGTGTATGCCAGACTAGCTGGCCAGCAGCCTCCTATCTTTCTGTGTTCCTGTTGCTGTGATAAACACCAAGACGAAAAGCATTTATTTCAACTTACAGTTCCACATCACAATCAACTGGAGGAAGTCAAGGCAGGAACTTCAGGCAGGAACCTGGAGACAGGCACTAAAGTAGAAACTATGGAGGAGCATTGCTCACTGGCCTGTGCTTCAAGACTTTCTCGACCTGCTTTCTTATATGCCTGCCCAGGGGTGGCACCACCCACAAGCGGCTGGGCCTTCCCCTATCAATCGCTAATTAAGAAATGCCCCACAGGCTTGCCTACAGCTCCAGGCATTTTCCCAGCTGAGGTTTCCTCTTCTCAGATGAAGTTAACTTCTGTCAGGCTGACAAAAACCCAACCAAGACACCCTGGGAGCACTAGGATTACAGATATACCTTGCCATCAGCTTTATGGGATCTAGAGATTCAAACTTTGATCCCCAAGCTTCCATAGCAGGGCTTTTACCCACTGAGCCAATTCCCTAGCCCACGCTGAGCATTCTTGAGCAGAAAATCCAAAATGCTTCACAATCTAAAATGTTTTGAATGTGAATGCCGTGCTGCAAGTGGAAACTCCCACAGCTGATTTCAAGTGATAGGCTTTAATCCAGGCAGTATGCCTGTCTCTGACTACAGGTGTGAAGGACAAACATCTCATGAAAATGGTGGCTGCGGAGGGCTGTGTTCTACAACAGTATCTTGTGGGATGTACATATTCCACATTCTGGGGGGAAACAAAAACCTATCTAGTCCCAAACAATTTGGAATAGGGGTACGTGTGTGTGTGTGTGTGTGTGTGTGTGTGTGTGTGTGTATGCCAGCACCACAGAACCCAGTGCCTCGCCTCAGTATTGTTACTAATTTTAGTTCTCATTTATTATTATTTCCTGGCGACTATAGCAAATTAATCAGGAAGTATAATCTCCTCGGGAGATGGTATGGTAGTCCAAGGCAGCAGTTCTCAAAATTTTTAAGGTCTAGGGACCTCTTAATACCCTTAAAAATTACTAAGGACCCATACAACTTGCATTTAAAAGGATAGTGTCTGAATCTGTATCAATAACATTATATAGTAACCTAGGAGTTGCAGGGTGTTGAGGAAATGGCTTAGTTGGTAAAGCGCTTGCCACACAAGTGTGAGGACCTGAGTTCAAATCCCCAACAACCATGTAAAATACCACCAAGTTGGCCACAGAAACATTTTCTCAATGACTCCTAAACTCATATAAGTACATTCCTTTAAATTAATGACCTTTTACATTTAAAAGTATTTTATTTTTAATGATGTGTATATATGGGCACATGGTGCATGCACATGATTTCTGCAGAAGCCAGAAGAGGGCATTGGAACTCTTGAAGCTGGGGTCCCTGGCAGTTGTAGCCCATCCCACATGGGTGCTCGAACTGGACTTGGGTTCTCTGAAGGAGCAGTAAATACTCTTAGCCCCCTGAGCCTTCTCTCCAGCTTCCATGTGGATGCTTTTAATGTAAATTAAGTGGATGTAAAATTGCCAGTTATAGAATAATTTACTTTTAATAACAACTGCAATGGACTAAATAATAATGGCAGATTACTCACCCAGAATTCGTGTGAAGTTCTGGGTTCAATCCAAGCACTGCATAAAAAAATAAGTAAAATAAGAGATAACCTAGTAGAATTGACATGAATAAGTACTGCATAGAAAGAAAATAGTGTAGTCGGGCAAGATGGTCTAGCAGGTAAAGGCGCTTGCTGCCGAGCCCGGTGACCTCAGTTCTAGTCCTAGAACACGTGTGATGGAAGGAGAGAACCAGCTCCCACAAGTTAGCCTCTGTCTTTCACATGTACGTTATGGTGCCACAATCCTAAACACGCAAAATAAATATATTTTTAGTTTAAAAGGATAAAATGGTTTGTTTTAAACAACTATCATTCATCACCAAATGTTCTTGCATGGTTAGAATTTTGGTTGAAGTTACATTCCATCAAACTCCTCTCTGAGGAGAAAACTAACAAACATAAAACACATCTGTGAACTGTTTGTTTCTAAATTAACCTAAGCTTGTGGTCCGCGTCATGTATGTATCTGATACCTACCTCATCTGACACACTCTGTAACTCAGTGAGATACAAAATGAGAAAAACATCCTGGTGCATGCACAAGTTACAAGGGAAGGATAATAATTAAGGTTAAAGGAGAGTGTCGCAGAGGAAACGGGCAACTCCTAGTTAAGAAAACAATATGCTGATGTGGGATTCTCCTCTGTATGCTGTGAATATGTTTTATTACCATTGGTTAGTAAAGAAGCTGCTTTGGCCTATGGCAGGGCAGAATATAGCCAGGCTGGAAGAGACATAGAGAGAGTGGCTTACTGGTAAGGGTTTGGCATCTACAAGGCATCTCTCCTTGACTCCACCTACTTTAAGCCAGTGGCTTAAAGAGGCTCCGAAAATGTGTTCTATTTGAAGTCAATTTGAAGGACAGCATTGTTTGGCTATTTAATCCATTTCCAGGCTTGTAAAATGGAGAATAATAACTACTTTTACTCATAAGACTTTTCTAGGGAGAAAATGAAAATTTCAAAAGATATAGAACAATGCCAGGGAGTTGAAGGCTCTAGGTGGTCACCAACCATTGTTACTGCTGTTGGCATTATGAAGCAAAAATGAGGAGAGAGTCCATATATCAGTAACAGATGAGTCCAATGTAAGGCATCTTCCATATGCACTGACTGAAGCAGCCATGACAACTTAAATGTTATAGGAAAGACAGTCAAAAGCTGAGGAGGTTGATTCTAGGAGTGTGCATCTTCTCTAGGAGTTGTTCCTGGGTAGCCTAGAGTACTCTTAGTCACAGTTTCCCCGACTATTATTGGATTTAAGTAGTTTCTGTTCCATTAGCATCAATTTGTTTCATTATGGATTTAGAATCTCAGTAGGCATGGGAAATCTAATGCCAAAAGAAAAGGTATTTGGCCTCAGAATGGTGGTCTGGGGTTGTGCTGATTTAGGCAGTAATGTGACCTAAATGGCAGAGAGAGTCATGATTTGAGGCACTTTGCAGAGCTCTGTGGAAACCACAGAGACCCAAGGTAAGATCAAAGCATAGGAGGTGGCTGGGCACAGGTAAGAAGGTATCTATCTTTGGGCATGCCCCCTCCCCCATCTTATATAGAATCTAGCTTAATAAAAGGAACAATTTATAACTGGTTGGCAGGGGTGCACACTTTTAATTCCAGCACTCAGAAGACATAGACAGGCAGATCTCTGTGAGTTCGAAACCAGGCTGTTCTACAGAGAGAGTTCCAGGGCAGCCAGAGCTATTCAGAGAAACCCTGAAAAAAAAAAAAAAGACCAGTTCTTTCATCTGGTCACCTCACGTCTTCTTATCATCATAGTTTCCGTCCTTTTACTTCTGTTCAAAGTTCCTTTTCTTGGTGTGTCCATACGTGCAGCAATTACTTCTAAATAAACTAATAAGAGTGGACAGAGAGCTGGAAGCTAAATAAAGCATTCATGTAAGGACACTAGTTAAAGAACCTGTGTGTGGAAGCCTGGTGGTGTCTTCATAATCTGACAGCATCCTGGAGAACCAAGAGCAAAATTCAATTCAGAACAACCTTGAGAGAGTCAGTCAGATGGATGTCCTAGATGACCTAAGTTTACCCACTTCTCAGACTCCTCACCCCCATCTACCGGTTGTCGTGTGAGAACTCCAGGCTAAGATAAGCAAAGTAAGAAAATTCGTTCCTTCCATCAGCCTTCTGTGTCCTTATCTGTGTAATGGTTTGGTTTTTTGTTTGCCTTTCTCCACCAACAGTATCGTGCTTACTATGGAGCCTTTAAACCTGTCCCCAATAACGAAGGAGACTCGGGAGACCTCCAGGCCCTGCGTTTTCTGTCTGTGATTTCAATTGTGGACCCCTGGATTTTCATCATTTTCAGGACTTCAGTATTCCGGATGTTATTTCACAAGATTTTTGTAAGACCTCTGAGCTACAAAAACTGGCACAGCCATTCCTGCCAAAAATCTAAGATGGAATCAGCTTTGTGAGGGCTCTGCAGCTCTGGTAAGAAAGAATGTACCACACACTCAAAGAACCATGATTGGAGAAAAAAAAAAAAACCTACAATTTAAATCCTTAAAATCATCTCCCATGGGGAACTGGAGAGATGGCTCAGCATTTAAGAGCATGGACTTCTCATGGATTTGATTCCCAGCACCCATTCAGAGGGCTCAAAACTGTCTGTAGCTCCAGCTCTAGGGGAGTCTGACGCCTCTGGCCTCCATGGGCACCTTCACTCATGTGCATATAACCACACACAAACACAAGCACACACACACAGAGACACAGACACACATACTATTAAAAATAATAAAAGTAAATTTAAAGATACCTCCCATAACTAAAACGTGTATTTTCAGAAGTATCTAATTTAACAATATGTTGTCAATCTGTATCCATAAACCATATTTTGGTCTAGTTTTAAATGTTGTACTAATAACAACAATTCAAATGTTTATGTTGTAAACAATGTTAAAAGTGTTACAGCAATGACATCAATTGTTCCAACATTTGTATCTGGTGGCCCTGAATTTTTAGAGACCTATGGATTTTTATTTAAATACATTTAGTTATGTGGTAGGTATTCTAAAACAAGCCTAGCAACAGCTCACTCACACAATTTTTCCAGTTAAAACTTATTTTATATCAAATTGCTCTTGTTTTTTTTTAATTTTTTTGGTTCTGGTTTTTGTTTGTTTTTGTGAAATGACCTAAGAATAATCTGAATTATAGATGCTGTTCAGAGTAGTGAGTCAGGAAACCAGAACAGGCCAGGCATTTGGGGAGACCTCAGGGAGCTCACAGGCCTCCGGTGAAGATGTACAACTCTTGTGAACTATGTATGAGGCAAGATGTAACTAAAACCCACACAACTCAAAATGGAAAAAAGAAAACTGATTTTCTGAAGTCTGGTCTCTTGTAGATGGAGGCAGAGATGTCAGTGAGAATCAATAATGTAGGTGTTGATTCTAAATTTTTCAATTTGTGAAAACTCATTGATGGATTCTTTGAAGGAAAGGATCTGTTTCTTGGAAAAACACTGGAGTGTGACTTACCAGAGAGCTATATTATTTACGATTTCAGCTGTGTGAACTCACAGGGCATTGAGCACTATAAGAGGCCCACTCAGGACTAAGCCTCCATGGAGAGATGGCAATGGACTTTACACTTGCCTATCACAGCTTCGTTCTGCTTCTAGAGACAATGAGATGAGGCTCCTATGTGTAGTGCTTGCAGAACCAGAGCAAAGCATGGCTCAGAAGGACGCTATGGAACACTTTAATTACACATGAGTTTACACAGGTCAGCAACACTATGGTCAAAAGAGAAAGTGGGGGATGTCCTTGCAGTAGGATTGAAGGGTTCTAAGTCCAGTTCACAACAAGAACTTACACTTCTGTAACATGAGAGCGTTTTCACATCCCTGTGCATCCTGAACACTCCAACTCTGAGATGGTCTCAAGGTCCCCAGCAGCAGTCGCTTCCAAAGACAAGAGTAGCTTGCATCTTTCCGGCTCAGCAGAAAACCCACTTTTCTCACCTCTGGTTGTTCTGAGATCTCGGAGATGACATTACTGTGTATGGGTATATATATGTGTGTGTGTGTGTGTGTGTGTGTGTGTGTGTATGTATGTATGTATGTATGTATATATATATGAATATATCATTGACATACTATATATACATACATATATATGTATATAATAGCAAAACTGTGAAAAAGCCAAATTAGGGATATAGGAAGTATAATCTGAAAGTATAACACAATGAAAAATACATTTGTTTTTGGTTTGGCTTTCATTTCTATGTTAAATGTGAATGATGCCTTTTTTTTTAAGCTGAGGAAGTGCAGCTTTTTTGTGTCCTACTGTCTGCTAGAACAATTTTCCAGATGATGTAATAAAGTCCCAGATGAATAAATAAATGTAATTTTATGATATTTTGTGGAGTAAATTGCTTTTTAAAAAGTAAAAGTCAAACATCTTGTTTTTTTATGAGCAAACAATTTCCAGCAGTATGTCAATCTCTATCTATGCAAGTATGAATTTTCCTATTGGAAAATATTACCTTAAACAAAATTTCCTAGGCTTATCCAAGAGCCTAGTGTTCCTATTTTGTTTACATTAAATGCTGAGAAACTGCTCTGATGAAATCCATGTCCAGTTTCAGTCAACTGTGGGGGGATCCTCACTGATTTATCATTAACTTATTGTATCATCTACACAGACCTCACGCCTAGCAATTGGTTAGGTGCGAGTTACTCATTGTCCACTAGAGGGAGACAAGACTGTAATGGTTGTAACACAACTGGAAATTCTCACTAGTAAATGAGAATGCTGTGCCAAGACATCCCCAGAAGGGCCACTGGGAGCAGATGTTTCCTAAAAACCCTGAAAATAGGTAGACATGCCAACCCCAACTGAAAACTGCAAAGGACACTCAAAGAAAGTCCATAGAAGCGGGAACATATAGTTCAGAAACGTAGAAAAACATTTAGTCTAACCAAAGAAATGAAAAGGGTGAATTAAATGATGGAGGACCAAGCAAAAAACATTGTGACTTGCAAAATTCAGAAGATCATTGAAATGTAAAAATTCACAATCCTCCAGTAAGTTTGTAAATTACTACACTCTTTCTTGGTAGCAGCCTTACTAAATGACAAGGAACCGAGAAGATCTAGAGGACCAGTGTTGGCAGAGGTTTCTGTTCTGCCCAGTCCCACAATAAACACAAAGAAACTATATTATTTGCAATACTTTTTGGTCAATAACTTAAGCATATTTCTAGCTAGCTCTTATATCCTAAACTAACCCATCTCCATTAATCTGTGCATCACCACAAGGTCATGGCCTACTTGCAAAGTTTTGGTGGGCTCCAGCAGAGGTGTCTGCCTTCTGAAGCAGCTACATGGCTTCTCCTTGACTCCACCTACTCGATAGATAGATAGATAGATAGATAGATAGATAGATAGACAGACAGACAGACAGATAGATATCTTCCAGCCTGGCTATATTCTGTTAAGTCATTGGCTGAAAGCAGTTCCTTTTTTAACCAATGAAAGCAACACATGTACAGAAAAACTTCCTCCGCCAGTATCAGTATTTCCAACCTGGAATTGTGATCCAAAAGAAGAAGTAGAGATACTGCCAGAATTATACTTAAGAAACTGTAGCCTTACTTTATGTAACAAAAAAATAAAACTGTCAGAATAAGGACCAAACAAAACTTCAAATACACCTTAATTTACATGTAATATATTTACTAAGCATATAACTATTTTAAAAGTTTATTTCAACCAACATAAGCACTGAGAAGAAAATTTACCATGTAGCAATAAGTGATAAAAGCAAGATACAAACTACTTTAAGATGTGGCCAATAAATATGTACACAAAAAAAATATACCTTGTAAAAATAAATCAAAGAAACCATGAACCATAGTTGCTCTTGTCCATGGACATTTCCCCATGACTCTTTATGTTTTCTGAGATTTGAGTAAGTATTTCTTTTACATAGAAGTATTTTTGAAAAGATGTCAAGGACTAAACTGAGAAATAAGAGGAAAGGCACCAGGGCTGAGTTTCTGATCTGAAGGACCAGAATCCAGAGATGTGCAGGCACAAGCAAGGGCGGCCTATCTAGGGCTGGTAGCTTCACTTGGCAGAAGTGTGGGGCTACAGACCTAAACCTGAAGGAGAAGAGACTGAAAGAGTGGCAGGTTTCATACCATGAAGTAATGAGTAGGTCAGCAGTAGGGTTTGGTGTTCTGAGAGGCTGGAGTGGGGACAATCTGATGGAGTTGGGGACTCACACAGGAATGTGGACCATGAATGGAGCAGATGGGCATGAGAATAGTTGTGTCAAGCCTGGGATGGTTCTCTGTACCCAGTCTCAGTAGTGGACCCTCGTTCCCGGCTTAGGAGGCAAATGAGTTTAAAATGGCCTGGCCCTGGATTTCCCTGCTATGCATCCCACCTGATCAGAGAAAGGGGCATTTTTATGGGGTGTGTGTGTGTGTGTGTGTGTGTGTGTGTGTGTGTGTGTGTGTTTTGTTTTACTTGAAGGGGGACACAGAAACTCTGTATATGAAGGCCTAGAGAAGCCCAGCTGTAAGAGTCCCCTCCAAAGATAAAAATGAGCTAAATGATCAATCGGTCTGTCCTTCAAATGTGAACAAAAATTAATGTTAGGCACAGCAGAATTCAAATCATTAAGTGTTAATGGTTCAAAGTCACTGTTTGGCTATAGGATAGACCCAGGAGTGATTACATCACAGCGTGGTGTTTTTTTGAACAAGCAGCATGCCCATCAATATACAAAGAGTATAGAAACATGGAAGTGTTACTACCATCACACATCAGGAATAGGCAGGCAAGAAGGTACTGGATTCAGACAGCAGGGAGAGAGGAAATAACTGCTCAGTGGCTTAGGAGGCAGAGCTCCTGGGATCCCACAGTGACTCCTTAGGGAATCCCACCATGTGACTGGGGGCTGTGTCCTTCCAGTTGTGTTGCAGTTCACCACTTTCTGTCAGAGTTTCAGTGGTCACATAAACCAGGTAGGAAAATGAGAAACATTCTGTAAATAGCGTTTTTCTCTCCCCTCTATGTTCCTAGTTTTCCTGGACAATAAGTTACAGCTCCTGATTGAGATTACTATAAATTTTAACATACCCTACCCAGCAGGGTTAAGAAAAGCTAATTGTCTTTGTTACTTCTCTGTTGCTGTGATTAAATACTCTTACTCAAGCAATATTTAAGAAAGAAAAGTTTACTTTGTTTTATAGCTGCAAGAAACTCCATCAAGGGAAGTCAAGAGTGGGAGTTTGAGAGCTGGTTGCACTGTGACTGCAATCAGGGAGTAGATGTTGCTCATGCCCAGGCCATTTCTTCCCTCTTATTCAGTTCATTATGTCAGTCACCCATAGTGAAGTGTGTCTCCCCACTTAACTAGCCAGATCAAAAGAGTCCCTCACAGGTGTGCTCAGAGGCTAACCTAATCTAGTATTGATTTATATAATAGAGCAAATACCCTATAATCTTCCATACATTCCCATGGGTATACCTAGGGATATGTCTCCTAGGTGA